TCAGCTTCCCTCTTGCTCGCACATCTCCAATTTAGATGGTGCAGTATAAAGAGCCTGAACTTATAAAAAGACGACATCTTATCCATTTGACAGGTCTTCTGCTCGATTGGAATGACTTTTCCTATGACTTTGACAGATAATCGATTGTTCCAATTTTGACACGCCGTCTCTTTATAAATTCAGGCTCTTTAGTGCAGTAGTGTGCGCCAATTAAACGTCAAAAGCTCGACTCAAATTCAGTGTTCTTTTGTTTTGTTCGAGTTATTCATTCCTCGAGTAACATTTGAAATAGGCCTATGTCCAAAACGTAAACAAATCGGGTTTTGATACCATTCTTTAGCACCGCTTGATAGCTACTAATCATGTAGGAAAGTCCGCATAATCGAGAAAAATCATTAAAAATAACTAGATTTTCGAAACGAAATTTTTCAATTCATTAATAGGCCCGCACGCTAAAACGGCCAACCATGCATTTATTTCATTTCATTGATAGGCCTAGTGACGTAGAAGGGTCGATGATTGAAAATTTTCAAACCAAAGCTAGGCCCTACTGCTTGAGGCAGAGCCGATGATTTGTTTTGAATTTATTTGACGTTGCGAAAAGGCTTAGCGAAGGGCGTACCATTTCTGATGACAAGCACAACGGCTTAACAAAAAGGGTCTATCAATTGAAAGATTCTCTAAAAGGCTTATTAATTTATGAAATTAAATTGTTATCGACTTTCATATATTTTTGAAAGGTTTTCACATATTTTGGATGTTGTATGCTGAGATACAGTTACTATTGTTATTGTGAACAATATAAATGCCTAAAATATTTCAAGAGCAAATTTTCATTATGTCGTAAGTAACATTCGCACCAATCCGAGAAAAATAAAGTTTTGTTTTGATGACCGAAAAGTTATTCCTATTTCCAAGTAAACACATATAATCTCATAGTGATAGCAATGTTTAACATATTTAGCAGGTTTTTAATCATACAAATGCAAATCGCTAGCTTTCATGCTAAAAATACTGGTTTTTGAGTCAAAAGTTATTATAAGTCGTTTGGTGGCCCCTGTTGTTACTTAAGTCAAAGTGTATTTACCAGGATATTCGGGAGAATTATCAATTACGTCTCCTTACGTGCAGCCCATTCATCATTTTAGGACCACCGAAATCATCTTAGCAACAAACAGTTCGATTTATTCACTTTAATAATGAGAAAGCGAAATGACGAACGTACACTTTTCACGGGTTTCTCAGCACTGTTACTTAAGTCAAACGGCATCTCCATAGAAATTGGGTGACTTAAGTAACATCGAAAACTATTTTGATCGGAAGGTGATTACGTCAAAAAGCAATTTGACTGGTAAATAAATTTAAAAATGGGATTTGATCCTATATTCGTACAGTATATAGTGTAATAGCAGGAGAATCGATTGACACTGATAGCTCGACTTTGTTTACCTTTGTTACATTCGACGTAATGGAAATTTGCTCTTGATTTCAATTTTCTTATATATGAATTGAATTGTGGCGGAAAAATTTAAAATTCATTTTCTGGTTTGTTTACGTTTTGGACATAGGCCCATTTCAAATGTTACTATAGATTTCAGGTTCTGATCAATGAAAATGATTTTGTTTTCGATAATAAGCTATTTTACGTGACGTCTTGATGACAGTTCCTGGCGGGCCACTCGAACGCGCTCGAGGCATTGTTATTGTTTACGTCTGATGTTTTTGTTTTGATTTTGGTCGTGGTATGTCAACAAATCGGCCCGCTGGTAAACGTTAAAATAGGTAAACAGAAAAAAAAAACAGCTGACTCGAAACGTCTCGTAAAATGCCTTATACGTACTGAACACGGCGAATGAGAACAACCCAAATTTGAGTTTAGTTCACTCATAATCGCCAAAAATGCAGGAACTCAGCGATGAGTAAAATTTGTCTCATGGTTTCCTGTGGAAAACCTAAAAAATCTGCCGGAAAATGAAGAAATTGACATAAATTTTATTCAGTCTCGGAGTAGTACCAATAGACTGACTGAATCCAATATTTACTTTTCTCAAATTCGGGAATTTTTCCCTGGAAAATCCTGGAAAAACTTGGGAAAACATGAGGCAAATTTACTCATCGCTGAATTCCTGCACTTTTGGCGATTATGAGTGAACTAAATTCAAATGTGGGTCGTTCTCATTCGCCGTGAACGTATCACTTAAAGCAGGAACCATGGCAGCAGCATCAGTAGAACGTGACGTCGATCGAAATTCGTGGCCGTATCTCAGTAGTTATTTTGCATTTCACGCAGTAGATAACACCAACTGTCTGCAGTACCGTTGCGTTCTCAGCCTGCCGAAACTAGTTCCAAAAAAATGCCAGACCACTAGTTTATTCAACCTGAAATCACACATCAAACGAATCCATCCCGGATGCATCAACAAATGTGATGAATGTATCAAATTAGGTTCATCTCGTGGCCGTGGAAAACATGCCATCAGCAGTGCATCTGCCAATATGTCGAAGCTAACCTCAGCCTCGGTCTCACCTGGTTCGTTTCTGCAAAAGGAGCCAATCGGCCGTGGATAGCAAAACTGTCGATCTATGCGTGTGCAATATGATTCCACTTCACGTAGTGGAACCAGAAACCTTCGTCAGCCTAGTGAAGACTTTGAATCCTAGCAAATCTACGATGTCTCGACGTACACTGGGCAGTGCTGAGATTTGCCATTGTCATTGACAGACTTTTGCGCGATATTGACAAAATTGTTTTTCACATAGTCACTCATAGACTTGATCCTCAAAAAAAAAAAACTTTGTCAAAATATCTTTCATCAATGATAAAGATTCACCTGGTAACAAAAAGTGAAATTTCGTGCATTCTGAGTCATATTACTGTTATCCCAGCAGTTCAGGATGAAGACGCTTGTTCTTTTTAGCCATAGAGGTAACTCTAAGACTAGAAGGTCCCGAAGAAACGTGCTCAACTTTTTAACTCAACTCTGGTACTATCTTCGGTCCCAAGCTAATCGATGCACCCTTCGAAGCATAGGAAAATTCATGGACCCCTCATTTTATCTATCAAATTTTCATAGCGAATCAAAACAAACATAGTTTAGTACTAGAATGTCGACTATAATGGGATACGTTAATCGATTTGCTTGGGACCAATAGGCTAGTCAAGTAGTGAGCCAATTTAAAATCTTTCGTTTCCACCGGTTGCTTTAACGGCTCCATGTAGTTGTTTTGCTCAAGCTATTTAAATTCGTCAAAATGTTCGTCACTGACAGCATTGACACTTTTCAAATAGACCAATCTATACATTGATCGATTCTCTTTATCGACTCTCTCTTTCGTTAATAACTTGGTGGCTTTCACATTTCAAGCCAATTCTTCTGCATAGTCTGTTAAAAGAAAGTATTATTATGCGTATTAGACGATAAGAACAGCTTGACATGTTTTTGGAGCTGAGTTATTAATGAAAGAGAGAGTCGATGAAGAGAATCGATCAATGTAGATTGGTCTATTTGAAAGGTGAAAGTATGAATTTTCTATATAATCTTCCCTGAACTATATTGGAATTTAATACGAATTATTTTAAGGTTTCACCTGGAATCAGAAGATTATCAGAATCTCATTTAAATTATCCCACAATATTTGATGTTTTTAAACCTGGGATAATTTTTTTTTTCAAAGGCCTACATTTTGAATTATAATCTTTGATACACAATCTTGAAAATTTCACCAAGTTTAATTTTTTGCGAGATCTAGAATGTTAGCATGTTTCAGAATCTCAAAAAAAGAAATCAATCCTCAGAATTTTAAAATGTTCATACGTTTGATAGTCTTGAATATTCTTCTTATTCCGTAGTAGTTTCAAAGTCCAATTCAACCATCAGCAAAAGACTAGTTTCGGTCCCACAATCAATGCAATTCTATGCAGTAGCACATGTTTCCACCGTCCATCAACTGGATTTACATCACTGCGAGTGGTTTACGGATGATACGCTTTCCGTAAATCTTATTTGCGACACTAAATTGGCCGTGTGCTGCATAAATATGACTGCACCACGCAGTGTCGGTCGTCATTTGATCCTAGATACCTTCAACTAGGTAGACTTACTTATATGCGACACAGCGTGGGACAAAGTACGTCTTTTTGCGTACTTAAGACCTCAGAGCCGTGGGTACTTTCTTACTCCGATGGGTACAACCAACTGCATAGTCTATGTATGTGTATGTGTGTGTATGTATGTGCGAATACGTTGCTGTAATTGGTCAATTAGGTTCAATATTATAGAAGATTGTCGGTACGCGCGTGCTCATCTCCTATCACGGAACGGGTCTTCCAAGAGTTTATGTGTCGCACTACTTGTACGATAACAATCTGGTTTAAAAGGGCGGTGAGTAAATTATTTTGTTTACATCTTGCGCTTCGCGAGGTTGCGTAGATAAAACGGCTATCTTGGTAAGGTTTCTACTTTTGGATGGTTTGTTTACCTATTATGTATTATTACGAAAATAGGCTGCGGAAATGTTGTATATGCCTAACGGTTATGTGGAATTGATGAGCATATAATTGAAGAGACTTCCACTACTTCGAGTTGTGTTCAGTAAATTTCAGAAGCAAGTTCAAAGAACCTTAGTCAACATTCGAAAAATTCATGTCCTTTTCCTACACCCGACAATCATGAGATGTATGAAATGCGTCGGGTTAGAAATCTCTTTTTAAATAGATACTGCTGAAACAAATTAGCACTATTAGTCTAATGATGTGTCTCGCTTCTTATTTTCCAAGAATGCCATAATTCCCAACGGGAACGGGATAAATTAGTTCGCAAGAAATCCCCGAACGCAGTTGTTACAGCATATGTATCGTTTGCGCTGTATAACGATCCTAAACGATCTGTTGCTGGCAGTAACAGAAGCATACCCATCAGTTAGTATCCCAGCCCCAGGGTTGTACCCACTAAAATGTGTCTCACAAATTATGAAACACACTCATAATCGTCTTCACTTACCTCATCCGTTGCACTGCTCTTCCCGTCCTTCGGTTTCTCGACTGCAGCTCGGGCCTGCAGGATTTTTAGAGCTGTATCATTTTCCACAATCTTGTACACGCTGCTATCCTTGGGGAAGATCAACGGTGGCTCTTTAGGGTTCGAAGCCGTTTCGCCTGTTGTCAACTCGGTGGAAGATCCATTGTTTGGCTTATCGGCAAGACCGATCGGGGTACCATTGGCAAACTCTGTGTTCGAGGTGAGAGCAAGTGAAGGGTTATTTAGTTGAGATTAGTCTGTGTTAACGTCTTCAGTTGGTGTTGTGTTTGAGTAAATTATAATCAGCGTATCTTATACTTAATCTCTGGATTCACCGGACGAATGATTCGCTAAACGATTAAGATTTACAGGTATCAATACTGAGTTAACATCCACTATTCGATTGTAATCTATTGCTGTAAACCCCTACATGAACCCCATGTATCAAATATACACGATCAAACTAACCACCAAGGTGGTTATTCCCCAAGCAAATCTACTAGGACTAAAACAGTAAATAATAATTAAAATTTGTTCAATAACTAAAGCTGAGAAGAGGCATGTGTGTCACTTGAAATTCAAACATGTAAACTATCAACAAATACATGAAATAAAGATTCTTTAAAATCAATATACAAGATCAGTAGTATTCCATCAACCTATCTATAGGCGTGCGTTTCATTATATCCGAGTGACTGAAATAGAATATGATATGGGATTTAAGGATAATCGATTGATTGGCGACAAAGTCTACATCAATGTAACGATAATTGAATTCAATTTGAACAGATCTAGAAACAGGTTTGGAATATATTGGCGGGAGGAACCTACACACACTTTGTTAACAATATATGGCGAGTGCACCGTGCATCGATCGATAATAGAAGCTGCGAAAATTAATAATCAATTATTGAACAGATTATTGTATAAATATGATAAAGCAAGGGTGTGAGGTTTCCCGATAGTCTAGTCAGTAAAAGTGCAGCACGCCATATCGGGTTAGATTCTTGGTCGAGACGCAGCAGTTTTTGGGTTGCGATTCTCTTGATTTCAATTACGTATACTAACCCTAGTAGCACACTCGTCACAAATCAATTGTAGAAACTTATATACGACTTATTTCAGTCATAAAGAAGTTGCTGTAACTTATTGTGATGAAAGCGTGCTAGAATCCGGAAGCACAAATTATTTGGATTTGGAAAAATGGATTCGAACAAACTTTCTCTGTACACTCTCAAATCTGGCTATCCAGCATGCTTGGTACCACCAGACGACAGCACTGTACTCTAAGATTGAACGTACTAACGAACAATACAGCGCCTGAAGACATAGTGGATTGCGAAAATCTTCAGATATTTTGAACATAAAGCAAAGTTGCCTGTTAGCTTTAGCCAGGATGTCATTGTAGTGTGGTTTGAAGGTCAATTTACAGTCAAGTGTTACTCCCAAATCTTTGATCTGGCTAATCCCTCTAACGTTTGCCCGGATATGGAATAATAAAATATTATCGGCCTTTGTTTGCGGTGAAATGATATCACATTGCTTTTGTTGATACTGAGCGTCAAGAAGTTACGAAAGCACAAACTCTGCATGCGATCCACAATCAGCTGCAACTCATCACAATCAGCGATACAATTGATGACCATATACATTATGACATCGTCAGCGTAGAACAGCTGGCATCCAGGTGTCTACTGCCACGAAAACTCGTTGACGAAAAGCCAAAGCAGAAGGGGTCCCAGATATCTTCTTTGGGGAACGCCGGAAACGTTCGTGAAGACTTCAGAACGAGAAGCTCCAACCTTAACACAAAGCGAACGGTTCATAAGGTAATATTTGATCCACGAGATGAAGGATCGAGACACTCTGAGTTTCTCAAGCTTTTTTCCTCTGTTCGGGACATAAAACCACTGCGACCAGTAATTTGATCTATTGTAGTATATCCAGTGCCCTTAGTTTAGTGCATGTCGTATTACTCCATCACTATTGAGAAATGATGAAGTATTCGATTTTTTACAGTTCTTATTCTTGCATTTATCGCAAGGATCCGACTCTAATTGAAAGGTCCCGCTACTTAGACCCTTCGGAGTGTTGAAACATCCTCCAAAGGCACGCCCCTTTGTCAGTCAAAATTGAGGAAATGACACCGAAAATGACCATGCATCAGAGCCCTAGTCTTAACCACTTCAACCTAGGGAACAAGGAATAGAAGATTAGGAATCACTTAGATGTAGACTAACTAACTCATTTTTTCCTTGTTTCAAGATCATTCTCGGTGGACAAAGCCGAGTCTTGTCACTATCAACAAGGCATAACAAGTAACAAGGACTAAGATGTGTTCCTTTGATTACTGAACAATCCTGTTCCCCTAGTTCTTGAAGTAGTCAGGACTAGGAATCGGTGCTAGATCTTACATCCCGTAACGTACCACGAAAAGTTGATCATTCAAACTTTTCGATTTTTTACGCGCATTTGAGTAGCGAATTTTTCAACGAAAAATCGAACCTTTTTTTTCGAACGCCGCCATTTTGGAAATTTTGCGAATTTAGAAAAAATGCTATGTTAGATTTTAGATATTTTAATGATTTTATTTTCTTTCTCCGATGTTTCAGTGCAGAAAATGCTGTCCGACAAGCGACAAAAACATCGCCTGGATCTGTCTGGTTGCTGAACTGCCAACAGAGGAAAAAAATCTAGACAGGTGTCTCCATAAAGCAAAACCAGCAGCCACCCAGCATGGAAGTTTTTTACTTTGGCTCTTTGTACCACTGAAGGTACCCAGAATACTTAAGTAAGTAATAGTACGTTCAGACTGCAGAGCTATCTTGATAGTGATTTTTGTGTTGCAATTATTTGACAACCCTTAAAACATGTTATAACTGCTTAGTCTGGACTGCGCTTAGGTAAATTATTGGATATTGACTCGATAGTCCGACTACAAAAAAACACAAGAACATAAATATGAAAACTTACAGCACAATAAACCTATTAAATTTTGTGTTTCATATGTTTTAACCGACACTTTCCTGGCTAACAAAATAGAGTCAACTCACCTTAACTCGATATTGAAGGAAACATCGAGTTATAGAGCTATCGACTTTTAGAACAACGAAACATTTTTTTTGTTCATCAGTACTTTTAAGAAGAATCCCGAAATATCCCATCTACTTTAATATATGAGCTTATTTACACATATTAAATTGAAAAATAATTCAAAAATGCATTTAAAGAAGGTCTGAGTAGTTGGTTCGGAATAAATATACAGCCAATATGGACAAAAGCGCACAGTAAAATTGATATGGCGCATAAAAATTTCTGGTGTGTGTGTATTCCCTCTAACCCCCACTGGCCGGCAGTGTTATTATGGAAGAACTCTCTCTACAATGTCGCATTTATGTTCATTGTAGACAGCTTTAGTCCGGGAGTTTGACGGTGATAGCTCTATTGCAGATCCAGCAACCCATTTCAGAATGTCTGGAGAGGCACGCCCATTCCGAGGATACGTTCACTTACAATAAGCCCCGCATGTATGCATCACCGTTATCAAATGGATATCGGTAATGTATGTAACATTAAACATTCTTTTCAAACCTGGCACGTATTTAGATTATGTTTTTTTTTATTATTGTTAAATGTATTTGGACTGGTCTCACCATGTCAATTTAATCCTCCAATCCATGGGTTCCGTAATTTTGAATTTTCTCTAAACTTTGCATCTCATTTCGTGATGCACCTTTGTCGTAATACTTCCTTTAATGAACACAAATTTTCTTGCATTACCATGGTAATCTGGGAGGAGGTTCGCGTCTAGTGCTTTCCCCAGAAACAGTTTGCGGCCACCAACTGCGACACGTCCAGTCTTGGGCGTATCCAGCGAGACATCTTTCATATTGCTCGCAATCTCCGACACCGGCGAGAGGCCAGCAGCCGAGCACTTTTGCAAGCCGAAAACTTGCTGATTCACGGCAACGTCGGCCACCGAATCACCACCAAAACTCGCGACGGACACATTATCAACACGTTCCCGGGCTAATTCACCAACTGGACCGATCTATCAATAGAACTGCACGCCGAAAGTGTAGCATCCGCACTTGGAGAACCAGGCTCCCGGGAGGCAAAAAAAAATCCACACCGAACAATGGAACAGAAGCTGCGTCGTATATTTTGGAGGTTAGCTTCAAGGTCAACCGAGCCACTCAGGCAAAACACGAAATATCACTAAATGATAACTTTATGAACACTTGAAACTTAATTTCAGTACACTAATTAACAAATTTATAGCCAAAAAGTGTTTAATTCGCTTACGAAAAATACGCAGCAAAAGGAAAACACGTCAGCTTTCACGCGCGGCCTACTGCGATCAGGTTTTGACAATTTGCAAGGTTTTTTTTTTTTTTAATTCTTTATTTAAGAGATTTTTAGCCTTAGGCTAGTTCATCTCTAAAATTTGCAAGATAGACCAAAAATGCCAGTTGTGTTTAAAATTGTGTTAAACCTTCAATATCACCGCAAATAATTGGAATGAATAGATATTGAAAATTCATGGGATTCTAACCCTCACCTAACGAATGTTGCGCCTTGTCTGGTTTTGGTCACTTCTCTAGAGGCATTTGAAACCCTTCTGGATGTGGCACCATTGCACTGAGCACTCAAGAACGCCTATTTGATGTGTCTCATGCAGTGCTGTAAATTCTCAAAATCAATTAAATGTATTTGATGAAAATGAGAAAAGCAGCTATCGGCTATCGAAGAGACCTCATTCGAATGGGTCATTTGACGAAGGTATGGTTCATTATCATTTGAGAAGCGCTTTATATCATTCAATTGAGTGTAACCTACACACAAACGGAGCTTTGGTTGACACTCTGACGAAAAAGCTAAGTCTAATTCGACACCAAGCTGATTCCTACCAGACCCGATGTCGATGTTGTCGATTTTCGACTCACATGATGGGATCTGGTGTGAATTAATGGTACGGAGAATTTCCCCGGAGGACATCAGGAACTTGTTCGGATACGGCCGACAGATTCTTGGTACTCAATATATAAAGATCCTTTTTTTTTTTTTTTTTTCCTTTGGTTTGTTTTTTTCCGTTGATCTTGTTTTCCGTGCTGAGCACCAATGCTACCGACGTGCCAGGAAGGCAGCTCCCACACCTGGACCCTACCTATCGACCCATCAACTCATGAACCGGGGACCAACGGCTTTA